TGTAGGCAAAGAAAACATGGAAAGAATCTATGCTTAGCAGGATTGTCCAGCTGACTGAAGAAGCTCAGCTAAGCAAACCAAAGCTCCAGAGGTGGTTGGATAAATTTGGTGAGATCTACAGTAAAGCAGTTGTATTTTGGTCTATAGCTGTTGCACTCCTTGGGCCACTTATTTTCAAGTGGCCATTGGTTGGCACGTCAGGTAACTTTTAGGATCTTCATTTTCCTATTTTATCGTTAATGCCGGAATATCCAAAATGTTACCTTGATCTAGATTTCGTTTGAGCTAATCGTACTCTGTTAGCCCATCGCATGAAGAGGGCTAAAAACTCAAGATAAGGAACTTGTGGAGGTCGTTTGTTATCCATGTTGAGTTTACACTATTTCTTCATCAGCAACATTTTATAGGAAGAATTTGAAATTTTGTGTAGATCAATGAAGTCTTGTTGTATACTGTGTTCAGTGGCTAAGGAGGAACGATTGTCATGTGTTAATTGAAATATACTAAAAAATAACATTCACGGTCGCCTTTTAACTATGCTCTTTGCTCTTTTATGTAATCAATACAATTGAGGACGCTTCACACTGTCTAAAGGCTTCTCATATGACATTGCTATCTCAACTAGCACTGAAACTTTGCTATCATTAACAAGTTAATGGAAGTTGTAAACCAGCTCTGGCATTATAAATATAGTTAGATGATGGTGTCTTGGACTTTTGCAGACCTAGACCTGGCTCTGGAAGTAATTTTTCCTTGATTTTTTTTGAATGTCCACATTTATAATAGTAATGTCCTTTGACTGTAATATGCAGAGGATGAATTCATAGCATACTGGGTTATAGTTATGTATTTTATGACTGTAGTTTGCAGAGGATCAATTTATAGGGCATTGGGGCTGATGGTGGCCGCATCACCATGTGCACTAGCTGTAGCACCTTTGGCCTATGCCACGGCAATTAGTGCCTGTGCTAAAAAGGTATTTGCTATCCCATACACATTTACATTGAAGTCCTATTATGGTTTGAAAGGTTGTCTATGGGTCAACCACTGTATTTATACCTAATTTATCACAAGTTCTTGCAATTTTTTTTAAGTATCTGAATATAAATACCATTATAACAGAACTGTTGATATACCAGCCCTTCTTGTCCTAAGAATGGGGGTATCTTGTTCTTCTACCTTGCCTGATGGCAAAACAAATTATGAGGAACTAAGCTATTGATCTACTTTTACCTACGCTTCATGTTTGCAGGTTTTTTAAAGAGCAATATCTCTAATAATGGCAGCATCAAGCTTTTATAATGTGTACTAGCACCTTGAAAATGACTTAATATGATTCTACACTATCAATTTGGCTTACAGGGATTACTGCTCAAAGGTGGACATGTTTTTGATGCTCTAGCATCTTGCCACACTATTGCGTTTGACAAAACTGGTACCTTGACAACTGGAGAGTTCACATGTAAAGCAATTGAACCTATACATGGACATCTCAGGAATGCTGAAAAACAACTTGCTTCATGTTGTGTACCCAGCTGTGAAAAAGAAGCGCTTGCTGTGGCTGCTGCGATGGAGAAGGGTACTACTCACCCAATTGGAAGGTTTTTAATTAGCTGGAGAATGTTTTTTATCCCTCAGATTGCTTAACTATGCTGTCTGAATGGCTTCTCTGATGAGTGCAACTGTCATGAATTGTTGATTTTTATGTTTTGCAACATTAGCTGTTTTTGTTTGTGATGCAGAGCTGTTGTGGATCATAGTGTGGGAAAAGATCTTCCTTCTGTTTCTGTTGAAAGCTTTGAGAATTTGGCCTGGTAGAGGTCTTTTTGCAACATTATCTAGCATTGAGGTAGTGTTATATTTTAGCATTTGGTTAACTAGTTGTTTATGTTGACTTACATCTAGAGATTGAACTGTTATCCAATTTTTGGGTCAAACACATGCCCTTCTCATTTTACCGGCACTGCTAACTTTTCTTTGTTTGCTCTGACTTCTGTTTTGGATGTGGTATTCTATTGAGTTTGTTGTGCTTCTAGGAACTATTTGCAAACTTCTGCCATGCTGGCCACCATAAAATGGAATAATTAGTGATCTTCTTCGATTATCAACTATGATGCACTAAATACATCAAAATCTTCACATTCTGGATTTTTTACTTAATTCCTTTTTCCCCCTTGCGACAGACATGCTGCATGAATTTCTAACTTTTCATATACTCCACCAAGTAATTTTGCCATGGGTATCTCCTATATGGGGTTATGCATCATGGTCCTTTGAAGATTCATGGTAGTCATTTTTCATTATGTGTTTCAGTATTCTGGCATGACGATTGAATTTAAGTTCCTTTCCTAAAGATCTTCTCAGTTTGTCACTGCTTTATTCAGGTCGAAATCATTTAATTCTTAGGATTTTGTAATGTTCACAGCCAGGACTTGGTGACGGTAAAACATTAAGAGCTTCGCTGGGCTCTGTGGATTACATTGCTTCGCTTTATAACTCTGAAGACGAATCAAGTAAAATTAAGGATGCAGTGAGCGCTTCTACTTACGAAGGCGATTTTGTTCGAGCTGCTCTATCTGTTAATAATAAGAAGGCAAGCTTTTTTTCCCTGGATATGCATAATTGTTAAATAAATGTAGTTAACTCTTCGTGTGTTTTGCAAATGGATTTGGATACCTCTTAAAACCTATTGAAATGGGCACTAGTGGATTTTCTTAGTCACATTCAAGTTTGGTGACTTAGTTCTGAGATAAGAATTAGGATTATGAGTTGGCATCGGATATCTCCATGCGCATGTTGTAGTGAATTGTTATGCAGACTTCTTTACGTATGATGCTAAATCTGGGTTGAATTTGGGGACTACAGGTGACCCTTTTTCATTTTGAAGATAAGCCTCGACCTGGAGCTTTTGATGTTGTCCGGGTATTAAAAGATCAAGCAAAGCTCCGTGTAATGATGTTAACTGGTGACCACAAGTCAAGTGCGCGGAGAGTGGCCAATGCTGTGGGTATCGATGAGGTATACTGCAGCCTTAAGCCAGAGGATAAGCTGTATCATGTGACAAGTATATCTAGAAATACAGGTGATATTTACATTCTGTTTAATTCATCATGCTGAATCATCTGCTGCCTTCCACTAATAGAGATGTAAAATATTTTTGGCGTCAGTAAGAATTATATATCTGGTTTCTTTTCTTCAATTTGACTTTTAGTCAAGGCAGTGGACAAACCACAGGCCAGATGAGATTTCCACTGAATCAGCAATTGAATGCTATGTGAATTTATGCAGTATAAATTTTTTTGTGAAGCGTCATTTAGAAAAAAATATGTTGGAATATGTGGTGAAGATCTTATACATGTAAGATTTCTTCATTCTTCTGAAATGAAAAATTACTTTTTCTATGCTATATGTAAGATTTAACATTTTAACTCCATCAAATGACTTGCTCTCACCGTATGCCTATTCACGAGGCTTTGTGTTTTTACAACCTTGGAATTCCAATCAAAGCATCGTGTTGCTCAAATTCTTGCATTTTAGTTCATTAATATTTGCCTTGAATATTCCCGACAGGAGGCGGGCTTATAATGGTTGGTGATGGTATCAATGATGCCCCAGCCCTGGCTGCTGCAACTGTGGGTATTGTGCTAGCAGGTCGGGCCAGTGCAGCTGCTGTTGGGGTTGCAGATGTGCTATTGCTCCAGGACAACATTTCTGGTGTCCCATTTTGTATAGCGAAATCTTGGCAAACAACTTCCCTGGTAGGTTTTCCTTTTCCCTTTTCATTGCAAATATGTATATGCTTCGTCAACCTAATATTGGCTGCAACACCCGTTGCAGGTCAAGCAAAACGTGGCCCTAGCTTTATGTAGCATTGTAGTGGCATCTCTTACGTCAGTTTTGGGATACCTTCCATTGTGGTTAACGGTATGAATCAACTTGTAAACGGTCTGCTGCAATACATTATAGGCAATGGAGATGGTATATACTCCGACCATAAGAAATGCCTGAGAACAAAATGTTTTCACATGTTGCCTTTTTTTGTTGTTGATGATTTTGCAGGTGCTTCTGCATGAAGGTGGTACTCTGCTTGTTTGTCTCAATTCCATCCGGGCTTTAAATCCCCCAACATGGTCATGGAGAGACGACATTCCACAACTTGTTAACAAATGGAGATCTGTAGTTATGTTTGTGATGGGTGTCAGCCACCCGGAAACCCAAAGCGCAGCACAGGCGGCGGCACCCTCGTGATGGATGGATGGATGGATGTACCGCCTGGAGTCATTCAGTTGGAAGCCATAACCCTCCAGGCTTTTGTGAATATTATAGGTAGAAGGAGGACCATATTCATTTTGGAGCTGTGGATAGCTTTTAGAAACAAGACAGACATTATTAGTTGTCAACTGTAAATTTCTCTCCAACAGACGATTTTTGATGGCGACATTGACCTTGATCAAATCAGGAAATGACGACATCTCCTATTTTTCTTGTGTCCCAATCAAATTCTGTTGCGCTGCGATCATTATCCTCTCCTCTTTGGATTTTGATATTTAATTGTGGAATTGCAAGTTGCTTTAAAATCCTTGAGCTTCCCGGATGCATAAAAATAGCCCAACTGCAAAGGTGACGCAGTTCATGTACTTGTTCGCGTTGACACGGAACCACACACGGAAGAGATGAGAGAGACGGGGAGTCCAACGCGCACGCTGCAGCGATCCGATCCGATCCGATCCGATATGTAAAAAATTGCAGTTGGTGCGGTTACGTCCTGGACTCTCTCTCTCTGTTCTGTGCGACTTTGAAAGTTCTCAAGGGTGGATCGGATCTCTACCAGTATTGTATTGTATAATTGCTTTGCTTATATGGGTCATATGGTTGAGCTGGCCATTGCAACTCAAGCGAGAGAAGATAATTTGGATTTTGAAGCTTCAATTAAAAGTGGCTACTCTGTTGTGGGTTACCATCGTATCTGTTAGCAGTGTCCACAGAGTCCTTCCATAATCCGATTATGGAATTTGTCCATTTCAAATCCATCATTAATACTAGAGGTAGCAGCAAGTATTTGTCACTCGACATTTTATGATTCTAGAATTAATTCCGATCAGGACGCTTCAGCTTTCAGTCTCTCTCTCTCTAATGCCCAAAAAGAACACAGATATATCATCATCTATGCGCTGTCACAATTTTTTACTGATAGGGTAATTCTGTGGCGGGGGATTATCACCATTCAGTCCCTCTCACAACACTAGCAGTAGCGGTGCAATTTACTGCCTTGACAGTCCATTTTATCAAAAGTCCTTTGGGCTTGGAAAAAAGTCCATTTTATCCTGTCACCAGGGATCCCAGCTGTAATCTTCTTTCTTAGCTACACCGCTATCGCTATTGGTAGGATAGGATAGACGCTAACTAGAAGAGCAGAGCAGCGACAAAACTTTCCTCTACTTTTTCACCGTCTTGCTTTCAGTTCCCCCACCTTTGATTATTCTTTCCAGATTTCCGGGCTGCTTAATAATCATTACCACTGCCCACAGTTATCAAACTCAAAATGGCCAAAATTTTCAAAACAAAACAAAACAAAAAAAAAATCCACAAAACTAGTAAAGTGATATCCGAGCATGCATACAAAAAGCTTAAGATTGATTGAAATTTTAAAATTAGGTTTTTTTTTTCTCTTTTTTTGGGGTACTTCACATTTTCTGTCCCATGTTTTCTGTTCCTAAACTGCCGGAGCTACAATTTTTTAAGGGCGAAAAAAAAAATGAAAGAAAATAAACTTAATTCTTTTGTGCAGGGGGGTTTTTTTTTTTGGGGGGGGGGGGGGGGTGTTTGTTTCTCTCCCGGTTCTTTCCCAAACTCTCTTCACTCTGCTATCTTCCCCCTTGCCTACTACGCCTCCTCTCTCTTCTGTACATAGGCCAAAATCGTCTCTTTCCATCATTCTTATGAAGGCCCATTTGGGACTGAGAAACCGAAACAAAGGTCGTTTCTTTCTCGAACATCCCAGAAGCTTCAACTGATCAAATTTCAACATCTTACCCTCAATCGATCTTGTTGATTCCAACACGCTTGACGGCCGCATTCCTAAACCCCTCATTAGCAACAGAGGCCTGCTGCATGCACATCCCCATCCCCATCCCGCCGTGCATCATCATCATCTGCTGCTGCTGCTGCTGATGCTGATGCTGTTGAGGAAGATTCTGCTGCTGCTGCTCCATTCCCATCATGTAGTTTCTCACCTCGTTCCTTATCATCTCTTGCATCACCGCCAACAACTCCCCGGTGAAAGGAACAAATACCTTATCCTGCGGCTGAACCTGAGACCCAAAAGCTATTTGTTTACGGCCGTTCTGCTGGTCAACCGGTGCTGGTGGTGATGGAGGGGGGGAGGAGGAAGGAGTTGAATCGGAACCTTTGGTTGAGTTGAGTCGGTTGAGCGGGTGGACGCCTCGGTGGAGTCAACTCCAGGTAAGGAGAGGCTCAAAGAAGTAGGAGGATCAGTAATGTTTTCCGAAGTCGTCTCCACCACCTGATGAGGAGGCAAAACGGGGCCAGCCCTAGCAACGGGTTTAAATACGTGAGAAGAGGAGGTATTGGGAAGGCTGGAAGAGCTGACGTCGGAGCCGGACGGACTGCCCGGGTTCAAGGACAAGCCACCCGAGACGTGTCCGCCGGACCCAGTGCTGGCGGTTCTCTTCAAGGGTTGGTGGTGGTGGTGGAGTGGAAAGTCGTTGGTAGCTTCGTCGGAGGAAGTGATGGAAGAGCACTTTCTCTTGAGAGTGGAATTCCAATGATTCTTGATGGCGTTATCGGTGCGACCGGAGAGCAGTCGGGCTATGGTGGCCCATTTGTTGCCGAACTTGGCATGAGCCCGGATGATGGCGTCATCTTCCTCGGGAGTGAAGGCTCGGTGCTCGACTTGAGGAGAAAGCTGGTTACACCAGCGTAAGCGGCATGACTTGCCGGATCTTCCCGGAATGGACTTGCTAATCAAGGACCAGTTTCTAGGTCCATGCTTTTGAACCAGTTGTTGCAAGAGATCATCCTCTTCGGGACTCCACGGACCTTTGATTCGATCAGCATCTTTTCTCACGGTAATAGTAGTACTAGCACTGATATTATTGTTTATATTTGCCATTGCCCTTTTTTTTTTTTTTTCCTCTCAAAGCAAGAAGAACATGTAATCGGATATTCTGGGTAGTAGAGAGAGATGATTTAAGTTAGAGAGAGAAGAGAAGAGAAAAGAGAGAGGGGCAGTTTGTTTTGGTTTAGTGTTTCTTAGAGAGATATGAGTTTGAGAGGGACGGAAATGGGAGTGGTGGGATTGTGGGTTTATATATATCTGAGAGACAGAGGGGTAGAGAGTAGCACTCTACCGTAATATATGAGGGGGGAAGAGATAGGGTTGAAGGAGGACAAGGAGAGCGGGGGGTTGACCGGTTAGACGGGTGAGAAACGGGGACAGGGAGGGAGACGAGGGGGGGGGGAGTTGGTTATGGTGGGCGTTATGGGCACCGCTATTTCGAGGCAAGCGGTTGAAATGAACAGAGGGGTGCGGGGCGCTGGGGATGGGAGGGGTATTGGGGGATTTGGGATACAGCTGGCAAACGGACACGCGTCACGTCCGACCACCTGCACTGATTTACACATAAAAAAAAAAACTAATCGAATCGTACGTAGTCTTCTCATTTGATTTTCTTTTTCTTTTTTCCACTTTTACGTTTTTTCTCAAACGCTCCCTCTCTCTCCCTGCGTTCGTTGGATTGAAGTTTTTTGACCCCCGAAAAAAAAAAAATCATACTTTTTGCGATCGCATTTGCCAACAAACTCTTTTTATTTTATATATATATATATATAGATAGAGTCATTACTATAAATTTTTAATACTATATTTTTTTAAATAAAAAATTTAGAAGATGGCAATTCATACAGGACCTAAGCCCATTACAGTTGGTATTGCACTCGCTTGCCTTTTGGGCTCTTTCAATTGGGAATATCTAATTTTTTGTTTTTGTACATGCTGCTCGTAACAATAACAGAGTGAGTGGATATAATCGGAGGTGGCAAAACGGGTAGAAAAAGAAAAAAGACGAAGAAGTACTTAGCTGTATTTATTTTATTGAATTTTTGTAGCTCTGGTGCGTCCCTACCTACTGTACACTCCTGGCAGTAGCGGTAGCGGTAGGAGGAAGAAAGAAAAGAGAGGGAGCCGATCAGCTTTGACCGAAGGGAGAGAGGGAGGGCCAGGCTGGCGAGCATTTTCGCTTTCGTGTGGGTGGGAAGGATATTATGCTATGAGATATATGTTAACTCCCCACCGGGGGCCCAATATTTTAATATATATATTTTTTAAAATTTTAGGTGTACTCTAATAATAAATTGAAAGTAAAAAGAAAATCAAAACGGCCGCACGGAATTGCTGAGCTGGCAGAAAACGACAAGATTGGTCGCCTAATCGGAGGGCGAATCATTACTGCTATCCTGTCAGTCCAGCCTGTGATATTTTAAATCTCTCTCTCTCTCTCTCCTCTCCCTCGACTTCATCTGCTACTACTTTCTCTCCCCCCCCCCCTCTCTCTCTCCTTGTAACGGCTTCCCACCCAATTTCTTTTCACACCTTTCTCTCCTTCACAGGCTGTAACCTGTAACCGGTCAGTCGGTTACCTCTCTCCCATTCCTTTTTCATGGAGTAGTAAGCAAAAAATCTAATGTACTCCCTAACCCTAGGGGGAAAAAAAAAAGAAAACTAAAATTAGAAAGAAATTGTACGGATTCAGGTAATCCCACGCTTGCATACACGGTTCCCAAAGCCCAGCGACTTTCCTACAGCCTTCCTCCTCACCTTTAATTAATCAATCCTCCCCTCAAATAAACCCAACATAATTGCTTTGATTGATTAATTTATACGGATTCCATCCCCACTAAATCTCTCTACTACCCCGTACAATTCAACGCCCCCAGCCCTCCCGCCCCAAAAAAAATAATAAAAACTAAAAAAAATTTGCGTCTAACATACCTAAATTTGTGAGTGATTGACAGATAAAACTTAAAAATGAGGGAGACGGTGGCGGAGGGCCGGGTTCGGGCGTTACGGGGGCAGCAGGGGGTAAAATATATGTTAGAAGTGGTCGGTATCTGCTACGGCAACTCGTAGTCGTATGTAGTGCCTACAACCCACCTGCCTATTACTCGTGCCCCCTACTGTTTGGTAGCGCTACACTTTTTTCCCCTGCTACTAACAATCTACTCCCTAAATTGATTCATGGATTATTATTTTATTGAGTTTTTTTTAATAAAATTATATACTGTACTAATTTAATGTATGTAAAAAAAAAAGTGATTGAAATAATTTAATTCCAAAAGATATAGAACTCTTTTAGAAAAAAAAAATGACAATTCAAATAAGATCGTTTCAATTAAAATAATACTATAGATCCGAGCAATTGAATCCCTATAAAAGTTATGAAATTCGTGTATAGTATCCAAACACCTCCTACTTGATTTCTTTTGAAAAATACTACTCTTATGATTAGTTCTTTGTGTGGATAGATTTACCAATCACAAAAAATTATGAATTCCTATGGCACGGTGAAATTATGAATTCCTATGGCACGGTGAAATACTATGTTGATCAATGATAGATATAATACAAAAATGTGAGTGATTGATGTCTCTATTTGTTAAAACAGAGAGCTTTTAGGTTTTGTTGATATAGAACACAATAACTTTTTTTATCTCTCGCTTTTAAAAGTGTAATTTTACGTCTATTACAAATTTACATTGATCAAATTTGATTCTTACCTAAATTTCTGACTAGTTTTTAGTTGAAACCCAACACGTGTCTTGCATATAATTATTTTTGAATGACAAAATTATTAAATCAAATTTTACATAATCTGGTCCATAGTTCCTCACATTTCACAAAATAAATTTTTCATCCCTCACATTTCATAATATGAATTTTTTTATCCCTTATTGATTATGTGTTTGAATAGTTTTTTTTTTAATCTACCTGTCTATGTATTTGATTTCACTTGAATAAGATGAATAGCATGTAATATATCTCTATTTGATTTTACCTAAACAGATTAATTATAATTGTACACATGCTATTCAATATATATATATTTGGGTTTAAAACTAACAATTTTATTTTAAACCAATGTATATATTTATTTGAGCTCGCCATGTGAATTTGTTCAATATTTGTGGTCTTTTCTCTTTTAGTGATAATTTATTTATTGAATTGTATAATAAAGCCATCTAATTAATGAGTCATAACTCGAATTTTATAGTCATGCTAATAAATTGTAATTTAAATTTGAAATTTCTACTCGACACTTTTAAGATTAATAATTGAATTATTTGCCTTGTAATTGTCTTAAAATTTGAAAGTGCCAATTACTTACTTTTTTTATCATATTTTTCTTTGATTATTTTTTTATCCAAATTAATTCGATATAAACACTAAATAATGTCCAAATTATTTGATTACATCTAAATAAACTAATTGTAGTTGTACACATGTTATTCATATTATTCATGTGAAATTAAATAGATATATATATATATATATATGGATTTAAAAAACTATTCATACACATGATCAGTAAAAGATGAAAAAATTCATTTTGTGAAATGTGAGGGAGAAAAAAATTCATGTTGTGAAATATAAGGGACGAAAAATTTTATTTTGTGAAATATGAAGGACTATGGATCGAATTGTGTAAAATTAATTTGATAACTTTGCCGTTAAAAAATGATCACGTGCAAAGCATGTGATAAATTCGTATCAAAAACTTGCTGGAAACTTAGGTAGAGACTAAATTTGATAATATAAATTTGTAAGGGACGTAAAATTATACTTTTAAAAATAAATGACGAAAAAAATTATTTTGTAAAATGTGAATGCCGTTTTGAACGATTTTTCCTTTGGAGAATATCAATATGTTCTTTAAAATATGTAAAACGAAAAAAAAAAAATTAATGGCTAATATCGCAAATGCGGACAAATTTCGTGCACTGCTACTACTTTTTCGTGCACATTCTTTTTCTTTTTCGGTTGCATAAGGTCCGAACTTTTGACTTTACCTTCGCGCTGCCTGCTGGTGGTGGCATCGGAA